CATTATGCACTCGGTCCGCCGCCGACGCCCCGGCTGGTCTGCAACTCGACATTCTGCTTCCGGTCGGCCGCCGACGCCTCGTCCACTCTGCAACTGGATAGACATACACCTGGTCCGCCGCCGGCCAGGGTTGGAAATAAGGCCCTTTGCTGGTCCCAGTCGGGTCAAAACGATTTTGTGCTTCTTTACAAATTTATACTCCGGCACCTGAAATTTCTGAAATTTCCAACCTATGTAAAGAAAACTGCTATTATTACGCCTATAACATACATTTATAGCAGTGAGCGAACACATTTTATCGCCTGTCACATTTAGTAGGCCAAACATATATGATTTTCCTGCTGAGTGTTCTAAAAGCTGGCCGGTTCTCCGGAACAGATTTTATTCTCCGGAACCAGGACCAAAATTCACAATTCCAGCATTGCCGCCGACACCTCGCCACTAGCACTCGACAGGCAGGCATACACCGGGTCCGTCACCGACGCCTCGGCTACTTTGCAACTTGATGAATGATAGGATAGTCTGGTCCGATACTGACGCCCTTGGCCCGCTGCCGACGCCCCGAAAATCCGGCAACGCGACGCAGACAGGCAAAACGGGGTGTGCCGCCGACGCCTCGGCCATCCCTGCAACTCGACAGATATACACCGTGTCCGCCGCCGACGCCTCGGCTACTCGCAACTCGATACCATACACCTGGGCCCAATCTTACCAATGCCGTAAATAGGATTTGTCAGCGCTGGCCGGATTTTACGGCTCTCATATCAAAGATAGGCATCCCTTTTATTTATGCCCAGCTAATTTTGTCCGATGATTTTGATAGCGGGAATGATTATGAATGTTGCTTGAACGAATGAATAAGTGAATGTGTAACAGTTCTGAATGTTACCAAATGCCGTGAATGCGCATTCACGGCATTTGGTAAGATTGGGCCCTGGTCCGCCGTCGAAGCCCCGGCTACTCTGTAACTCAGTATAGACATGTAAACGGGGTCCATCGCCGACGCCTCGGCTCCTCTGGAACTCGACACACTGCGCTGCAGACGCCTAGGGTAATCCGCAACACGGCATATACGCCCGTCGGCTGCCGACGCCCCGGCCACGCCGCAATACCACATGTACAGATATAAATGTCGTATTGCATGTCGGATATGCATGTCGTATATGCATGTCGTATATACCGGTTCGCCGCCGACGCCTCGGCTTCTCGGCCCGGCCCCACCAACCGCCTCTTGACCGGGCACGGCGGCACGCACGCCGGGGGTATTAGCGGACACACCGCCGGGGAGACGGGACGCCCAGCCGGCCCGCCAAGGTCACCCGAGCGCCGGCCGCCCGGCAGCGGGGACAGGCATCGACACCGCGAGAGCCGGCAGCCGGGACCGGCGGCGAATGTCACCGCCGGGACAGCTCGGGCCCTCCAGCCAGGACCGTCCCCGGGGGCCACCGAAGCCTGTAGCGGGACCGCTACAGCCGGCCCCAAGGCGAGAGCGGCAGGGCGGCGCCGCCCGCCTCAACCCGACCCCAGTCGCCGCCGCGCGGCCCTGCTCCCCCTCCGGTCACACGCTGGCGGCGGCCGAGCGAGGCAGACGATGAGCGAACACCCGGGACACGGGCACGCTCCATCATCGGGTCGGGGTGCCCCACGCCGGTCGACAGTGATTCACTGGCGACACTGTGCGAGGCGATGGGGTCCAGCCACAGCGAGCTCAAGACGGGAGCCGACCTTGGGCGGAGGGACGCATACCGCCCCGGTTCACCCGCGCAATATCGGTCCGGCCCAATAATCACCTCAGGAGCGACTGCAGTCTATAAATCGGGCACAGGCAGCGGCACACTTGGGGACCTTTCTGCATCTGCCCGGATTCGTAGTTAACCCACCAGGTGCTAGTCAACAACCCGCACGTGGACGCTTGACGTTGGACCTCTCACAGCCCTCCGGGGGATCGGTAAACGACCGTATCAATCAAAATAGCTTTCGAGGCCACTACACCACCATCGCAGAAGCATGTTGACCGGTTCGCGCTCGATGGGCAGAGCGCGCTAGCAATAATATCCGGCCACCCTAAATTCCATTTGGCGCATTTGGCGTTTTGTAGGGGCTATCCTACCCTATAAACGAGCCGACGCGAGTGGTTCCGGCCACTGACAGCCAACTGGGGAGAATGACCGGTGAGATGGCGCGGGCATCGGGGTCCTAATCAACTCATAGCGGCGACGCGGCTATGGAAGGTTAGGACCCTGCCAGGGCGCCACCGAACGTGACCGTGGCTAATCGCCCCATCGACAGACGCAGGGCAGCCCTCGGAGGGGTGTCTGGGAGGGCGCGGGCCGCGGGACCGCCGGGCTGTCGACTGGAGTGGCACGAACGGCAGTCGTCGACGGCGACGGGCGGCGAAAGGGTCGTAGAGTGAGCGAGAAGTTTCCCACCCACCCTCACCAATTAAAAGATGCGATCTTAAAATAAGTGGAACCTTACATATCCTCAATCCAGACTACATCCCGTCGTTATCACTCCGGCGGTATCGTTTTGTAGGGGCTATCCTACCCTATAAACGAGCCGACGCGAGTGGTTCCGGCCACTGACAGCCAACTGGGGAGAATGACCGGTGAGATGGCGCGGGCATCGGGGTCCTAACGGGCGGTAACGGGTGAGGCGAGGTGGGAACTGTCGATTAGGTGAGGCGAGCCAGAAACGAACGGTGGTGGGTGAAAACGTAAGACGAAATGGAAGCGAGCGGTGGGTTAAGTGAACCTTGTAGTTCGAAGCTGATAATCTTGTCGGTATGGAAAAATATGTGCCGATATAGAGACGGAAGCAGGGCTGTATTGGTGGTGTGATACGGTGCTGGGAGCAGCAGCTGCTCCCAGCGACAGCCGCTATCCGTCACTGCCAACTCCCGAGGTGTCGACCTGTTTGTCCCACTCAAACAAACCCTCAGCCCGTCGGCGCTCCCTCCGCCCCGCTCCGTCGCCACCGCGCTGACTGCCGTCGGCCCCGGCGCCGCCGTGGGACCGCTTGCGACACCTCTCCGCCGCCGAGTGGCGACCTCCGTCCCCGCGGCCGGCCCGTCCCGTCTGTTTATGTTGGTGGCCGCCCGTTGTGGAGTGCCCGCCCGCCCCTCCGGCCGGTCGGCCGGCCGTCTCGTGGTGCCACCGGGCGCTCTCATGCCGTTTTGGGAGCGGGCCCGATCCGGTCGGCGTTCCGTCTGATTGGGATGCACGCGGGGTGCGCGGCGGCGGCGGTGGTTTCACCGTCCGGCGTCAGAGCGCAGCTCTCGGACGGCGCCGCGAGCAGACGGCGTAACGGGAGCTGATGGGATCTGGGAGCGGGCCGACGGGTTCCGGTGGGCGACTCCGCCGGCCCCGGGCGTGAAATGGCGTCCGGTGGACGGACGGACGGACGTGTGCCGGCCACTGTGTGGTCTGGCTGCCTGGTTTGCAGATCTCAGGCGCTAGAGTCGCTTCTGGCAAATAACCCCGACCGAGAGGAGGAGTTTCAATGAAAATTGCACCTCTGAAAAGTATTCGTATCCCGAACTGGCATACGCCGACCTATGACGTAATTCTGGCCACTGTCACTGCTCCCCCTCTCTGTGCCTCGCTGGCTGTTATGGGTACACGGACACTATGCGGGGCGGATAGCCGCGGCTCGGACGTGCCGTCCCTACACGGGGTTGGTTCGGTGCGGTGTGCAGTCGCCGTGCAGACCGCCGCCGGCGGTGAGCGGACCGAGCCGGCGGCACACCGTGTGGTGTAACCGGGCGCCGCCGGCGGCGCAGGTGGGGCGGGGAGGTGTTGCGTGCACGGTCCGAGCCCCATCTCGAGCACACCTGACGCAGTGAGCGGCCGGCCGATGGCTGTGTGCGGGCCGGTCCACGGGTCAGCGGTCTGACGGCCCACTGTTTCGGTGACCGTGACGGGCTGCCTGGCCGCCTCTGGCCGTCTGCGTGACCGCTAGACAGGCCATCTGTCCGGCGTTTGACAATGCAACTGTAACTGCTGAATAGACCGGCAGCTGAGGCGGCGCGGGCTGACCTGGCGTCGGACCGTCTACCTACAGGCTGACCTGGCGTCGGACCGTGTGCGGCAGATGGCCGGAGGACAGTGCCTCTGTCTGAGGTCGCCGTGCCGTGCGCGTCACCCGCGTGCCGGGTCCTTTTTGTCGCCGGCGCGCCGCAGCTGCGCCGTCTATACTGGCGCTCACAGCTCACACAGCTGTGACAGACAGCCCGCGGAGCTGACTCTGATACACGGGGTGCCGCAGTGCCGGTCGGGGTTCTGTAGGGGTGATTGATAAAGGCTGTGTTAATTGAGAAAGGTTTCAAGGGACCGGCATGTATTTGTTTCAAAGGTTAGTCCAGGTTGTTTGAAAGGGTATACGAAGCGATGTCCTTGTTGTTATATTGCTTTGATAAGTATTTTATTGGGGTTTGACACACATTCGTCATGCGACATCAGTCGCGCGATACCCTCGTTGATAAGGTTGAAGTATAAATAATTGAATGCGAACCGAAATATTGTTACGTAAGTTCGGTTGCAAATATTTTTAATGCCCGACTCAAAGCTGAGGATTTGTGTAACGATTCTGCGGCCAAACACGGCAGTTTGTCAGTCATTGTTGAGTATCGGCCGGCGGTGCAGCTCCCGTCCGGTCCGCCGGTTCTCGGAAGGCCGTTGGCAGACGACCCGCGATGGTTCCCGTAATGTACAGCCCCCGCTCCCGACCGAGGACATAAACACAACGCTACCACGCCGTGAGGAGGCCGGCCCAGCTGTGATCATTTACACGAGCCACGGGATGCCGACTTTGAGCTGTCTTGGATGCGGCATCTGAAAGAAAAGCAAATGTTGCCTTAAATGGCAATTAAATGTAGAATATTAGCTTTGTATTGATCAATGACGGACAATAATGTTTCGTTCCGTGTTTGACATTCCCTAACGGTGCTCGATTCCCATCGGTCACAGCCCGTCTCTAACCCTCCCGCCGTTCCGTTCCAGTCACGGCGCTCACGCCATCCAGCTGTCGCGGCTGCTGCCCTCCGTGGTGAAGCTGCTCAGCGACCCGGCCGCGCCCGTCCGAGACACCGCCTTCAACACGCTCGTCGAGGTCTACAAACACGTCGGCGAGCGGGTGCGGCTCGACCTGCAGAAAAAGTTCAGCGTCCCACCGGCCAAGTAAGACCCGACGCCGCCCGGGAGGGGTCAGGGCAGGGGCGGCGGGTGGTGAAGTGATGGGAAGTGTTGTGTAAGATCAGATGGTAGTGTCGATGTAGCGTTTGCGCGGTGCCGTGAATGCCGGCTTTGTGCGCTGTGCTGTGGGCTGTCGCCGGTTTGTTGAGTATTAGGCCGTGTTTGTGTGTGTATGTGTGGGTCCTGTTTTCTGTTAGTGGGCCGTGTGCGGAATACGGTGAAGTATAGGTAGTGCTGTGGTGTCTACTGAGGGTTCACGGCCGTCAGTGAATCTCGCCATGATGTGACAGATCTCATCCCGTCCTATCTCTGATATCCCACGAGTGATGCCGCCATTCGATGTGCTCGGCGGTGTTGTAAACCATTCGTCTGACGCGGTTATCAGGCGGATCGCGCTCCTCCCTCATCAGCCGGCCATCTCCGCCCGCCCGGTCCCACTGGGTTCGCGCGTGCTGACGGAATGCAGGGAGGTAACAGCCGCCCCGGGGACTGCTCACTCACAGGGAGGGTCGGAGCGTTTCATCACATTCACAAGTGATTGTCTAGGTGATGTCAGATGACGATGTCTGTGGTCTGTTATTAATGTGTTATTTGCTGGCCGCTGGCCATTGATATGAAAAAGCTCACAAGCTAACAGATGCATAAAGCTGTTTGTTGTATTCCCTTACGCCGGCTATGTTACTTTTCGTCAAAATTACATCACGACTGGAACGTTTCGATTCAGACTCAACTCTTCCTCTGCGTGTCCGCTGTCTCCTTTGCCGGCGGATGGGGGCGGGGCGGGCTGCGATCCCAGAGGGCTGTTCACGGGCCCTGTGTGCGGTCGGACCGCACACAGCCTCCAAGCTCCGCCCACTGCGTCCCTACGTCAGCCTTCCGTCACCGCACACAGCGACCGCTGTGGCCGGTCGGGACTGGCCACAGCGGACCGTCCACCGCACGCAGCCGTGACGTCAGAGCCGCCTACCCATCCCCTACCCCCACGCCTGCTGGACGTACCGCACACACCGCACGCAGCAGTGTGCGGTGCCCGTGAACACCCCTCAGGTCGACCGTGCTTCCTGTGTGGGACGCTGCGCTCCGTTGTCGGCGGCCATCGGGCGTGCAGTCCAGGAGATGGGACGATAGCCCCGCGGCGGTGGCGTTACAGAGCGAGGAGGGGGGAAGAGAGGGCAGAGACTGTGACGCCGGCGGTGACACTGACGGTGGAGGTGGTATAGAGGTAGGAAGGGAGGGAGGGCGGTGGCTGCGGTGGTTCCGGTGCATTTCGGTCTGACAGCCTGTCACCGGGCTCCGGTTCAGCGGCCAGCTGTGCTGTGTGCGTGTCGGTGTGCAGGTGAGACCTGCCAGCCAGCCGGTCCCGGCAGGTGTGGCTCCACCGTCCTCTCAGTCCGTATTCCGTAACCCTTACCAGTTACCACGAGTGGTAGTGGATGGGAGAGCGACAGCCAACAGTGACTGTGAATGGGTGCTGCCCGTGACGCACTGCAGAACATGAGAACACATGACGTGCAAAAGCTGAACACATGCATATTCCACGCGGTGATAAATGCAAAACGGTGCAACGTGCAACTTGGAGCGTGCATGTCATGAGAACGAGCCTACGTTCGTACATTGGGACGGTACGGCAGTGCGTTTGGTTGAACATCAGGGCACCCACCCGGGCGCTTTGGGCGAGCGACCTGTGTTTGATGTCGGTGCCCTGTAACGCAGCTGTGTGTGCGCCGCAGCTCCCCTGCGTGGGATGCCGATCTGTAGGCAGAGTGCTGCTGTTGTGCGCCTCTGCCGCCCCGCCGCAGGCCGCTGTTGGCGGAAGGGCTGCACGGTGACTGTGTTCGTGTCTGACCGATGCAGTGGTGTGTGCAGTGTAAAGTGCGACTGGCCAGTGGTGCCCATTTGACCACTTGGCTCCTATTTGGTGTGGCAGTCGGCAGGTAGTGTTCCGTGACCGGTGATCTGTACCGTGACCGGTGGGCTGTTCGCTGACCTGTAACATAAACTGACCGCTGTCCCCCGTCCCGTTTCAGACTGGGGCCGCTGATGGCCACGTTTGACCAGGTGAAAGAGTCGGGCCAAATGATGCCAACCGCCACGCTGACGCTGGGACCCGCCGCTGACAGTGAGTACTCGGCTAGCGCCACGGGGGGACAAAGATCCGCGATAGCTGCAGTGTCAGGTCTCGGCAGCGGCTGACCGTCGGCGGTACGTCAGCGCTGATGTGCCGCAGACAGCCTGGCCGCAGCGGCACCCGAGCCGGTCCAAGGCCGCGCGCCGGCACACCGACGGCTGCGGGACCGGCAGCGGGACCGTCAGCAATGACTGGGGTCATCCTGTTGGGGGGGGGGGGGGGGGGGGCGGCGCCGTGCGTGGGCGGCCAGGGCTGGCTGGTGGCAGCGGTAAGGCTGCAGCGTTTCACTTCTCTGAACCGTGATAGCCGGATCGTCCGAGTTTTGCACACAGATGCGCTCAACGAACCAGATGGGTGATGTCGGCCGGCCCGTGACCGTAAAGGAGCGGCGTGGGAGTCTGGGTGGAGTCGCCGCCACCGCGGTATCAGCGGACATCTAGCGGTCGGCCTGGCAGCCGGAGTTGCCTTCTCCCCGCTAGGTGGCAGGCCAGCTTTGAATGGGCGGACAGCTGTTGTGCGCGGCTCAAGCTCTCACCCCGGCACCCGCGGGCGGCGCCAAATCCAATGGGACCGGTGGCATTTTACGTGCGGGCCATTCGTCCGGTGGGCGTTGGCGAGCGTGATATTGATTAATGAGCGAGCAGCGGTAGTTCGGCATGAACGCACTTCCGCGATGATGAGGGGTTTGGGCCGCACCGCGTGCGGAATGGCCGCCGAACACGGGCGCGCCGGAGGGGCGGGGGAGGGAGGTGGGGGGTTTGTTGTGACGGGACCACAGCTGGTATGGGGGCGGTACAGGCTTTTGAAGAGTGATGGCAGTGCATGTTTTTTTTTGCCGATGTGTCATCGTTGTTAGACATCGAAGCGCAGTGTGTCGGCGACGTTCGACTCGTGTAACTGATCAGTTGCAGTGGTGTGGCCGTTATTGATTGGTGGCAGTAGAGGGTGGTCAGTCGGACTACAAGGGGACGGGTCGATACGCTCCCACAGTTCATGTGACTGGCTTTGAACCAGGCGTGCTCCGTTGGGTTAAATTGTGAGTTAAGTGGAGCAATGCCGCCAACACCGGTTCTGAGGGAGAGCAGCACTTTTTCGCTCCCAACTCGTGCGAATGAGAAAAACAGTTTAGTCGTTATGACCAAATTCAGACGAGGACGTTGTTTTGGAATGCCGCGTCATGTCCTGCTGGCAGGCACACTTCATATTTATTTTTGTGATTCTTTGTGCGACCAATGTCGGGCGCCGGCTAGCCGATGCTGCGGAGCGGCGGTGGTACTGTGGCGCCAGTGTCGTGTCAGACTAGGTGGCGCTGCAGCTGCGTCACGAACCGAGTAAGCGTTCCGCGGGCACAACTCAATGAAGGGCTATTGAACAGGCTCTATGTCTACCTTTGCGAGATTGTATAAAGTGATTAACCAATAACCACCCACCATGTTAGGAAGCGATATGTTGTAAAAGAAATGGAAGCCGCGCCTCTGTATGTGATGCGTGTCAAGGATCGTCCTTTAACAGAATTACCAAGGTCCGGAGAGAAGCAGGAGATATTTGTGGCTGTTGGACTTCAACATGCCGTCTTATCAACCATGACACTGGCTATATATAGTCTATCTAGTTTCCTTATACGGTCGGTCTCCTGTAAAGTGTTTGCATCAACATCAAGATTATGAACTATGAATGATTCATGCGTTTGCCGCTGCATGGTTTGCGCACCATCCGATCCTCGGTGGCGGCGCCGGTGCCAGTGTCGGTCGTCTGCTAATATGGCGGTGTCCTCTTGGGGCCGGCTCCGTGCCGCTCCTTACAGGGACCGGCGGTGTGCGGCGCGCCGCCCCGGGCTGTTCGCCGGGCCGACCGCCGTCCGCCGGTCCTCTGTCTCCGTCCTCGGCCAACAATGGCCATGCATGGTGCGCCGGTGTCCGCCGCCGCCGACTCGCCCTCCGCGGCGTGCGTCGTTTGGTTTAACGGAGCACGATGCTGCTGTGATTATGCGGCAGTGGCTTATGGACGTGATGACCTCAGGATGCTCTCTCGGCCACCGCACTGTGGGGTTTTTATCGATCCTAGCACGAATTTATTTATATCGCGTCCTCCGCTAACTTAACTAATTTTATTTCACCTTCAAATGTTTAGGCTTAGGGTGTATGATCCCTGACAACATGGTTGGCTCTCCTGTTTGACCCCATCCCTCCCCCGCCCCCGCCCCACGGACTTAGCACTGAAGCGTTTTCGGCTAGCAATGCATCGTGGGCGTGGAAGCGTTAAAAAAGTAGAACGAAACTACAATCGTTTTAGAAGTAGATATTTGTTCATGTCTAGCCCAATCACCAAAAGGCATTTCGGGCTTAACCTTTGCACTTTGTTAGTCCTTGCACTTAAAGGGGGAGGGGGTCGCACAGACTTCTGTCCTCGACTTTTCGCAACTAACTCAAGCAAAACGTGGCGGATCACGACGAAACTTTCTATACCTTCGATTCGATCAATGTTACTCACACACTTAAAATTTCATGACCTTGACCTTAATAAAAATTTGACCTGTGACCTGTTTCACCAGACCATGTCAGGCTGGTACCGATTTGGCGCTTATCAGCGCACATTATCGGCGCGTTTTCAGTCTTGTTGTGGTTGTTAACTCTCCAAGGTATGAAATGCTGTTTGTTCTTTGCATTTTAACCCTCGCATGTGTGCGGCGTTTGCCAGCTTCTAATGTGTAGGGGGGGGGTCGGTTGGACCCCCCTTGCCGTTTGGCCCCTGATCGAGCTAGAGCTTCGCGGAAAAAACGAGCGTGTTGCCCGTGACGAGAGGAAGCCGATGATACCCAATTTTAAGGTCCTAGGTCATTGGTTGACCTTCCAGGTCAGGTCAATGACCCAAAGTCGGGAAAATCGGGACCTGTTAGAAAGTCGTAAAGTGTGGCTGCTAAGGGGTTTTTCGGGGTGCTGATCACGAATATCGTGTTAGTTTTGATCACAGATGATGTCTTGAAGCATTTAGATCAGGTCGGGTCAGGTCAGGTCAGGTCAACCAGTAGGCGTCGTGACGGGTATTCGTAGTACGTGTCAACCGCCTCTGACAGCTTCGTAACATGTTACGAAGTCACCAAAACTACTTCGTAAATGTTCAAATTGCTGCTAAATTCGAATTCAGCTCCAAAAACTAGCCTAGAAACATGTAAAACTCGAAAAAGTGACCCGAGGTCACCCGAGGTCACCAAAGGTCAATGACCTGACCTGACCTTCAGGTGACCTTGACACACACGGGAGTAACATCAAATCACATGTTTGAACGTTTGAAACCACGAAAAGCTTGCAAACACGCGGCTAGTGCGAGCCGACATACCCGAAATCGCGATTCCGGCCAAACATGGTTTCGGAAAAGAGGTCACAGATCAAAGGTCATTTGGGTCAGGGTCATGAAATTTTCAGGGTAGGTGTAAAATTGATCAATGCGAGGGTACTGAAAGTTTCGTCGCGATCGGCCGCTTTTTACGCGAGTTATTTGCGAAAAACCATGGGGGGGGGTCCATCCGACCCCCCCTACACATGCGAGGGTTAAGGTCAGGTTAAGGTCAAATCAAGGTCATTTACCTTAGATTACCTTAGTTGACTTTTTCAAGTTATACGATTTTTCTAGATGAGTGCTTGGAGCTTATTTCGAACTTAACACCCATTTGAAGATTTAAGTAGTTTTGGTGCCTAACGGAACATGCTACGAAGCCGTCAAAGGTAATCGACGCCTACCTTCTATGGATAGCCGGCAAGACACCTACTGGTCGGGCCTGACCTGACCCGGCCTAGCATGAAAACATCATCCTTGATCAAAACTAGCTTGAAATTCGTGATTAGCACCCCAAAAACCTCCAACCTCACTTTACAAAGTTACAACATTTTTCGATTTACCTATATCAAAGCTCTGTACTGAAGTTCAATAAGGTGAACATTGGCGGCGATAGCCAATAAAATGGACGCAGCGTTGCAAGGATGTTGTTGTTTTGTTCTAAAAGAACATTTGGCGATAGAAAAATAATGTCAACATGGTATCACCCCCATCCTCCCTCCTCCCAACTCCTATATTGACCGGAAACCCCCAGGCGGTGTGCTGCGGTCGGGTAACTCGCCGCGGCGCGGCCCGGCGGGGCGTAAGAAACCACGCGGCACCGTCTGCTTTGACGTCTCATAGTGACTGGTTTAGGCAAATTTCGGCAAAAAATGAGAGCTGCCCCCAATGCAGAAATTATTGGAGAACATTTTGATATACATTTCCACGCGTAACACCTCGTATCAAACTTTGTAAGGCAATAGTTTGCTTGTCAACTCTCTGAATCATGAAGCATTTTAACATTTTTAGCATTTCGGTCAAAAATTATACATTTGGATGAATTTTCGAAATTTTCGTGCATACCATCATCTTCCTTATAAGTCAAAGATAATGAAAACATGTCGCAACTATAACCTGCTGTTCAGGGAAACGAGTGAGAGGGCGTTTTATTGTAGTGTGCTTTTTCGCTGTATGCAGGTAGCACGACGCTGGTCAGGACGAAGCTACACTTTGAGATGTTTTTTGAGGCATAAGCAATCATTTTACAGACGATTTAAGGTGTGATTCGGATGCGCTGGACAATTCTACGTGGAATGAATAACAAAAAAGTGGAAATCGAAATACTTTAACTTGCCACTTAATGCGTGCTAGGATGGCATAAGTCCCCACGGTGCACCGGTCACGTGCTCTCCTCCCTCCCCCGCCCTCTGACGTGAGGGCTGGCTGATGGACATTGTTGATGGACGCTACCTTGGACAATGGTCACGTGCTTCTCTCCCCACCCCTCCCAACGGGTGAACTGTCGCGCATTATGGGTGCGGCCGTTTTGGGAGATGCCGTCAGAGATGTGTGCGACACGGTTTGCATCAGACGTGTCTGTGTACGGCGGGCAGACCGCGAACTGACGGCGTCTTTCAGTGGTGCGGCGTCTCAGAGATGATGCGCGGGATGACCCA